AATTTCAAAGAAAGATAATATTATCCTTTCACTCGTGCTAGTTTTAATCCATAYACTTGACTCTGCTTGATCTCTGTGTTGCTTAACGACGTCAGTTCTTATTGCCTGCGGACAACTCGTGGTCAGCAGATGACTTAATATGTCTGTTCGTCTTTCAACCCACACACACACCTACACACTCTGGATTTTGCATGAAAATATATTTGCTGTCACAGTTAGACAAGCTTGTGCGTGTATTGGTGAAAAGTGATTACAATCATAATCCTCTTCACAAATGTCAACACACTCGCGAAGTCAAGATGATTACATATTTGATTGGCATTGATTTCAAGGATATTGAATAAGATTTGAATRATGTACACTGAGTTAATAGGAAATTTGTTCGATGATACATGGATGAATTGCTGGTGATTTTTGAAGCGATTTATGCTGTATTTATGCATTAATTTTGCGTAATTATTTGAGTTGGACAGCAGGATGGTTTATTTGAAGACTTAGCTCTTATACATACGTACATACAATTATGGTGATCTAAAAATTTAGAATTTGTATAAGGAATTTTGGAACTATGTTTATAAATTGATTGTGTACAACTTGATTCCTTTTAGGAAGAAGGGGTATACAGAAKATTCATTTTCATTTTGCGTAGTCAGTTTTATAACATCTATATGCTGTAGTGGACCGATTTGAACTAATAGTTGGCAAATTGTATGGTTGACTTGGATAATAATCCTTGCAAATTTTCRCCAAATGAAATGTTTTMYATACAAGTACTTGTTTCTGATCGATCTTTTGGTATAGCTGATGTTTTGGTATAGCTAATATTATAGTGCTCCGAAATCGACGATTYCGAAAAATGAACAACTTCATGTGGAGAAAACGGCTGGTGCAAAGCTTCAGATTGATACCTTCAAAGGGAAATGGTTTGCGAATATACATACAGATGGCCAGATAGACAAATGAACATGGCTAAACGGACTTAGCTCGGCATTTTTATAATTTCTATATGTCTCAGACGTTTCCTTCTGGCTGTTACAAACTTCTTGCAAAACTGTGGATTTTAGATTAGAGACTTATATCTTACTTGTTAAATGATTGTAGTTTGGACAAAGCGATTGGTTCTTAAAGGTTGTAAGATACAGATAAAAGTAGGTCTTAGTGAGAAGTCTTCATATTCTCCGAATGATATATATAATTTCATAGTAAAAACTTGTCGAAAGGCATATATAACCGCAAACTATAACTGTTAAATATACACAAGCTTTGCTCAGTTTCTTTCTCCATTAATAACTGTTCTTTTACGGATTTGTGATTTATTTGACAATTAAGTTCCTGCGAAGCATGTAAAAAAAGAAATAAGAAATACACCGAACATGGGAGTAATYAAGTAGAGTAGAAAAATGAATAAATAAAGGAAGTGAGAAATGAATATTAAAAAAAACTCGTCAACGTACTTACGAAAAATGAAAGAAATAACTGAAAAAGTGCTGCAGCGGTGTTGACAAGTTGAGACAAAGATGTGAAGAAGGAATGCAAAAATATTTAAGTTTATAAGTAAGTTGCCTCATATGCAAATAACGGTAATGCCGTGTCTAGTCATGCGTTTAACAAGTCGCAAGTTAACTAGACAAATATACGCGACAGYGAAGTTAAACAGGAAAAATGTAAATCGGTATATATTGGTCCATAGAATTTCAATGCGGTTAACATAAATAGACACAGAGAAAAATTTAGATATATATTAAATGCATATAAGAAAAAAATTGATTACAAATATCGTATAAATTATAAATATTTCGTATAAATTATAAATGCAATTAAATTGGTTTTGAGTACACACTTTTCTATGGACTGGAATTTCAAAAACTATATTTACATTCAGAAAGTGTGCTTTTACTAATTCTACTTTCGCRAAACCGTTTCCAAATTATAACAGTACAAAAATTTGATAGCTTCTCTGTCTCAAAAAAAACCATATATGATTTCTCTTGCAAAACCAAGCTATTCTTGCAGACGTCACACGTGTTTGCTGAAGCACAARTGGCACGTTCCGCGCCAAAACAAATATTTGAAATTATAACTCTCACTAAAGTTGCAATATGCTTGATTTCTGCGGCAATAAAAGAACTTTGTTGCAACCACGGTCAGAAATTACATGGCTTTTATTATTATATAAATTCGCTGACGAGCGTGAAACCGTAAATATTTATATTTCTTATAATAAAACGTGATTTATTGCTGTTTTTCTCCATCATAAATGTCATAAATATTTTTACGAGTACTGTTCGCGGCTATAATAAAATTATAGCTGTCTCGTCAACTATTTTCGTTTATTTGGTATTTATTTGTTAATACATGACACTGATTGTGGGCAGTTTATATTTTAAGTATCACGGTGTTATATTTTWATATATTTTATGCATATTATAAATGTTATATTATTTCTTTAAACGAAAAAATGTTGCCCGATGAGCTGAAAATTGTGTAGTTTAATGAAACATTAAAAAAAAAAATAATAAAAAATGCAATAATTCTATGTATGTAAAAAATTAATATGTTACTTGTGCATGTGACCAAATTTAAGTATTTCTAATTAACCTATATTGAAGACCACTAGGGCGTATGAGCAACATCTTACCTATACTTGCGGCGACCTTTGTGGATTTACTCACGCATGAATGTATTCCCCGAGAATCAAAAGACCTAAAACATTGTGAATTCTTATAAAATAATAGTCTTCTATTAACTAGCGCACACACAAATGAACTGCCGGATAGCTAGGTAGAGTGGATGTCTGACGAAGCATCTAACGTGGCGAAAGCAAATGGCAATTAAACTCATAACTACTCATTACGCAGCTACACACATGTAGATATACCAAATGTTGCTGAAAATCCACGAATTCGGCACAAAAATCTTAGCTTTCCATATTTAAAATGTTAGTATTTCATACCTCACATTCCTGGGTTTTTGTGTGTATGAAGTGAGCGCGCACCAAGTTTACATAACCGAAATTGGAAACTTTTTCCCCAAAAACTTCCCTAAACATCAAATGCAACTAAGCAAGTTGAATTGCATTTACTTTGCCTCAAAAAATATTTGAATTTATGAACACGATACTCGAGCATTTGAGCTGGGTAAGGGCGTTCCCCTTCCGGTGGGCTGTTGCTCAGCTCGCGTACGCTCTCAATTCAGGTCAAGGCTCAAGTCTAAATCTCTAGCTGAAAGCAACGCTGATTGCTGCTATACTTTTGCTACCAAAAAAATAAATATATACCTCGGCAACAGCACTGCCGAGCTCACTGTTATATTTAGTTTCAATGTTTTGCATTGCCTCCTAAAAGTAAAAATGCTGCCGAAATTTTTTCGTGTGCAACTATCCAAAATATGCGGATGCGGAATATGAAAACGAGTATGTTGAAGTGAATTACATTGGCATTGAGTGCCATTATTGGTGCTCTTGGAATGTCTATGCGCTGGTGTTGAGTTGTTTAGCTAAATCTATATGTCTAGGGGAMCGACGGAAGTGGGAAAGAAAGCGAAGGTTCGGTGAAGAGCTTAWCAAAACAACATGACTATTGATCTTTTTGAGAGGTGTCTACTGTTGGTCGAATATATTCATTAAGTTATTTACCCGAATTTTAACTTAAAGGTTAGAAGAAATTATATATGTTAGATAAAAAGTACCACAAGAAAATCAGCAGAAAAAAATTATATACATAAACATACACATTAGGCTGAAATAGAGATTGCCTTTAGACTACTGAATGTAGTGTTGTAATCGGTCTGTTAATTGGTCAATAGAAATTTTGTCATTTTAGCTTCTATTTCCACCGCTAGGGCATATATATTGAGGTATGAGCTCTCAGACATTTATGTCTTGATCTCACAAAAGCTGGGCAATCAAAATGTTTCCATCTGGTTTATTTTCAACAATTTTCAACCCTATGGATGCCGATAGGGCAAGGGCCTGTTAGAGCACCCATAATTAGACAGAGGCTAACCATACCAAGAGTAAAGAGCTCAATGATCTCTTGCGATCTATCTTGGGCCATGCTCCTAGCTATCCAGTAGTAGAGCACATGGGATAGAGGAGTATCGACCCGCTTCTATTATGCTGTTAGTGGGACCACGGTGTTCTTCATTGTCAGATTGTTAGCTTTACAAGCATATGAGATCCCAAATTGCTGCTGGAAAAGTAGTTGGTTTGGATGTCTTCATATAAGAATTTAAAGAAATTTCGGAAAAAAGAGAACGGAGTTTTTATTAGAATACTCTTTGCAAAACTAGACATAAGGCAGCCTGTTAAGCTGCCGGATCACAGCAGTATTTTTCAAACTCAGTAGCAATAAATTGAGAAAGTCGCAGATCCAGCCTCTTATCTATCAGTAGAAACTCCAAAGTTAACATCTACGTAAGCAACCAAGTAGCAATCAAGTCCATAACCTCGTTTCCCATAGAAAGTTTTGTAAGAACTTGACTGAAATCAAAATTCAAGAATTCAGAATAGTTCTGACAGATCGCGCAAACTGCAGCAAATATCAAGGGAAAARTATCAGGGAAACAATAGAGCATATCTTGTGCACTTGCCTTGCATTAGCAAAGCATTGCTTCAAGCATTTGGGGCCACTCTGTATGAGAAACTGGAAGAGGTAGCGATAGTGAGGTCGCAGAACCCATTTAAACTCGCGTCAAACGCTGGCATTTTGAATGATAATTCTCATGAGCTATATAATGGCACCAGACTAACCTAACCAAGCCTATATATATTTCTATATAATATCTTCATTTGCTTTAAGCTGGATTAGTTTCAAGTTATAATCTTCAAATTAATGATTTAGTCATACCTTTTTTTGTATATTTGAGTAAATCCTTTGATTATTAAATATAAATATATATGTGTATCAAGCTTTTCATAAGCAAATAAATAAATATATAAATACCATAAATATATATATATATATATATATATATGATATATAGGAGTTTTCGTAACTTACCAGGATTGTGTTGTCTCAAAAGCTGCGTTGAAAATTCCGAAAGCGCCGAGTGAAAGYAGCGTATAAAATGAAAAACGAAAAAAGAGTAAATTAGCACATTTATTTTTATAAAAGCTGACTTTGTAACTTACTAGGCCATAATAAACATCACTCAAACACACACACACATATATATATAACCAAGCGCTTTTTCAGCTGCTCCCTTTATATTTCTTTACATAATTTACTTTTTGTGGCACAAATTTCATGCGGAAGTGAATAAAATTTGCTTGCTGACTCACCTTTGTAGCCCTAAATTCCAAGCTTAAATTCGCCTCCACATGCGCTGTTGTGAGACCGTTAAACAACACAGYCAACAGCGGCAGCAATATCAGCATTTTCCTAAAACACAAGCAAAAATGGAAATTCCAGTGAAAAAATTGCAACCGTTATGTACAAATAAGTGTGTGTGGCTGTGTTCGCTTGTAAATATAATGTGTAGCAATAAAAAATGTGTCTGTGTACGAGTATGTCTGTCAGGTGGCGTGTGTGGCAAGCAGGTAAATCATTTAGTGGCCGCTTGTTGTTGCGTCAGTGTTTGGCGAAAAGGGTCAAGCCAACCTTTGTGTTGCGCTCGTAAAATGTTATTTTTTTTGCTAATGTCATGTCGGTCGGTTGTGAAAAAGTTAAACACATTTTTTCGATGGCTTTTTTGTTGCACTCTTTTGGTTTTTGTTGCAATTTATTTATATTGTGTATTAAATTAAGGCAATTTTAGTGTCTGCCCAAGAGTATAAATGTGTTTGCGTTATGACATTTTCAGACATTGAGTGAAAAAATGCTTTAATGTGGAGCCGTCTATGTGTGTAAAATTGGTTTGGAGAGAGCAGTTTTTGTTGTGTGAATTTGTTATATAGAGGCCCTATCTATTTTGTATTATCGATCATAGCTTCTCGAATTTTCGATTCTTTAACTTTATCAAGAAAAGCGATATGAAGGCTGCAACATCATAGGCACTAAGTGTGTCCTATAATGGCAGAATAACAAGTACTCTTACATTCGTGCTCAAACCAATGCATTTATTACAACTTGTGAGGTTTTTTATCACGAAATCAGAATGATAAAATTACAATTACATATAAAAAAAAAATTAAAATTAATTTATTAAAAATATACGCCTCGTTCAAGAAGTTCTGAGCTTAAATGAGCGATAGGGTCTCGAAGAAATTAAGAACTATTGAAAGTTATGTGAGATTCGATATTTATATACCTTTTCCGTTGAATAATTTTTATACCCAGAACAGGGCCTAAGTTTCTAATACCCTGAAGAAAACGTCGGATACCAAATAAAAATAAATATAAATTATCAGCATGGTGAGCGGAGTCGATTTAATCTTGTCCATCTGATCAKCTGTACGTTTGTCTGTATATATGCATCATTTTTGAGATACCGATMTGAAATTTTGCACACGTCGTTTTCTCTCCAAGAAGCTGATATCGAACTACTATGACATTTAGCGGTCATACGAACTGAAAAATCGGAATCAAGTGTTTGTGTGGAAAAATTTTTCACTTGACGAAATGTCCTCAAGAAACTTGCCATGGATAATTGTCTAAGACAACTGACTGATCAAAATTATTGTAAGGAACTTTTTGTGTTTCTGAAGAGTACTATAGCATCTAGGCTACCGAAGCTAACGTTTTTTTTTTTGCTTTTTTTAAGATTATTATTCTCAGTCTTAATAAAATTTTCTGGTCTGATTTCGCTGGTGCCTCTCGCCCTATTCCAATTATGCTTTTGTCTAAGTATTTCTATTATTAGCACAACCTAGTTCTTAAGTAATGAAATTGCTGATCTCCTGTCAATACTGAAGATGTGAGACAACGTCCTAAATATCTTGTCATGAAGAGTTTTATCAAGTTCCTATAGGTTTTCTTGTTGACTATAGTAACACBTGTACTAGCGACAAAAGGATTAGTTTCCAAAGGGCGAATGGACACTACTATTTAGTGCATGTTTATTACTTTTTCGAGGAATAAATGCATTCTGTTTTATCTAGAATAGTAACCACATAAGTCACTTAGTAAACACGCTCGATAAGCTATAGAATTTTAACTAATCAGAAGTATATAACTGCGATAAGTATAAAAAATATTGTGCTATAATATTCTATATTCTTTTGGTTAAGATTTCGGTACAGAATATACTCGAGGATACTAAATAGGAKCACCGTTTGTTTACAAAAACTCTGCTATTGTATTTTCAAATTTTATATATTCGCTTGAACGTGTTTGTTTTGCACTGGTTAACCCATTTTTAATCCACAATTAATATATATATTAAAAAAAAAGCTACACTAAAAGCCAACACTGAAAACAAATTAAGATTTTAAATGCAAACCAGCGCCCAACAACCGCCTTAATAATAAATGTGCAAAAATAAGAAATAAAAATAATAAAAACAATAATAACGCTTATTATGATATTCTTTGACAGCTGCAACAAAAGCACTAAAACGCTTCAGCGCTTTTCCTTGCCACCATAAGGCTCATTCGCCCTTTCTCTGTTGGCCTTTGTGCGGACTTTTCRACCTCTTTTTGTCATACTGACATTGCCTTTCAACTTTATTAAAGGGGTTTGCGTGCCTTTCTTCCAAACATGGCGCTGAAACATTTATTGGCCTCTACACTGTTGGTTGGCAAAAGCAAAATGCAAAAGAAGATGAAGACGAAAAATTCAATAGCGGAAACAGAAGCTCAGGCACGCGTGAAAACCGAAAAAACATTAAAAGCATAAAAGGCATAATATGCGCAGGCTGCTCGTTTCCCAGCGCTGCTTTAAGTCATTTTGCAGAAATTTGATGAAAATACTCTCCTTGGTGTGGGCATCAATGCTTAACCGCAACATTACACAATTGTTGCCGATCTCCCGATTTTTAAGTATGAAAATTCCACGCAACGCGAACTCCATAAACACACGCTTCATTCACAGTATTGTTGCTGTAATCGCATGCAYATATCTCCATTGTGCGCGAAAAAGGGTCTTTAAAGGAATTTAATATGCAACTTTTATTTAATTGTCTCGTGGAGAGCRTTGCAAAAACAAGCCTACGTATGTGTGTTGAACGAAAATTAATTGAATCATTATTGGCGTGGTATGGCCGGCGCACACTCCACTGCAATGCAAGAAGGAACCACGTCCTGAAACTTTGGCTGTTAATTGCATATGAGCACAGGCAGTAATTACATTTTCGATGTGAATGTGTTGGCCGGTCGATTGAGTGCTTTCATAYACAAATGTGCATAATATATATGTATATACATAGTGTCCGTCTGCCCAATAATAAAATAATAATATTTTTTGGTCGATCAGCTGTTATACGTAAAAAAGTTGCTGCAATCTTTAGTTGGATGGATGATGGGGAAAATTCAATATGTAAACGGCATGGTTTGCTCATCCGCCACGTTACTCATACGCACTGGTGTCCGGTTGACGGTTTGTAGTAGAGTACTTTGTGATGCACGTTGGCATTTTTAGTCGAAAAATTTTCTCAAGCTTTATGTTAAAGGACATAATTGCCTATTTTAACATAAATAACTCTGAAACTTTTCACACAGCCTTTTGAAAGTGCAGAAATGGTGAAATAATACTTTTTTTTCATCAAAAGTTGAAATTTTGTCTTGAKTAAAAAGAGAGTGGGAAACAAGAGGTCAGATTTTCGCGTTTTTAATATCTGAACTTAAATTTAATTTTGGATTTCAACAGGCCTACATTCTTTGAAAAGCAATCTTTATGTTTTATACTGGTATTTTGACAAAATGATAAACTATCATGAAATGCTAAGTCTGACGAAGAAGACGTATTTCAAAAAATAAAAWTATATAYTTAAATAAATTKGACTGCGCTGGCGGAGCTAWATTTGGTTTYAGATTGCTATCTARAAATTGATGAGGCYATAGTTATTCTCGAGAGTACTACAGAAGAGAGTTTGTACATAAACTGAACTGAGCATAAAATAGTAATAAGATGCTGATAGTTCTATCTTCAATTTCATTCATTAACTTATTCAAAATTCAAATGCAATATCCGTTAAATTTTAGAGAATATCTTTAAAAGTATTGAAATGGATCAATAAAAAGGCGTTATAAGGATTGACCTAATTACAATGTGGAATAATATTTTTATTGACAGACACATGCTTTACTAAAATAAATCAGTATATGATTCGACATCTCACCATAGTCATAATCAAGAAATATGAAAATACTCACAGTATGTATTTTCATTATGAGAAAAAATCCATTAATATGAATAAAGCTGCAGATTTGTAAATTAAAAAATCACTTATGCAAAAAAAAAAGAAAGAAGAATATATGATAACCAAACAGTAAAATGAGATCGAAAGTACTTCTTTCATGCATTTTTAAAAGACTCCGAGAACTACTTTTGTAATATAATTTTAAATATTGTCATTTTCTTGAAAAAGAAGTAATGAAGAGCTGAGTTAGGGTGTCACCGAACATTTTRTACTCTCGCATGATAAAGTGATAATCGAGATTTCATTATCCGTCATTTACATAATTTTTTTATTTTGCTGTAAAATTAATTAGATTATATCAATTTGTGTACTTTGAGTATTCAATTGTATTTTCATTTATTTTAACTGAATTGATTTACCGATATCTTCGGTGAAAAATTAGGTTAGGTTAGGTTAGGCACTGAGTTCTTCGTATTCGATATCAGGGACCTTGAAAAGTCATAGTCCGCTCACGACAATTTTACCACAAGGGATACCTCAGCTCAAATACCGTATGTGTGTAAAGTTTTATTCCGCTATCATCATTGGATAATAATGTATATATTATACAGAGAAGGCATCAGATGGAATTCAAAATAGCGTTATATTGGAAGAATGTGGTTGTGAACCGATTTCA